ATTTTGAAAGTTTTTGAGTTTTTTTTACTCTAAAATGAAGATCTTTGGAGCTACCTAACTGAATATTAATACATTTTCAAATATATATAGAGAGAGAGTATGCAGTCACAGTTTGAACAACATAAAATTATAACAACTCTAAAATGCTTCAGCTTTCAGATGTGTTATTTTATATGCACTCTACTTGGATAGTGATGCAAAGTTGAAATCAGCAATATACATCAGTTTTCAAACAAGTTCATGTGGATTTGTTTTAAATATACGGGGATAAATAGCACATTGCAGGACAGAGGAGAAGCTAAGTATGTGTTTCATTGTGACTCTTGGATATGTCATGCTGTGCAGATCATGACTTACCTATGTAGATTATGCTTGCACTCTGCTGTGATAGAGCCTTGACCATGTTAACTTTATGCTCATGGCACCGAGCAAAAACCTCATGCCATCTCCTTTCCATTCATTCATTCTCCTTACCTGTATTTTAGCACATGCTTCCTAGTCAGTGGTCAGACTTTTATTTCCTGCCAGATTCAGTTTTCCAAGTGATAGTTTATGCCACATAAACTCAGTGGTGTTTGTTGCCTTCACCTGGGTAGAGAAAATGCCCAAAGTTCTTTCCAGTCCTGCCATTTCACAAGATGTAAAATTAGATGATCTCATTCAAGCTCTGTGGCTGTTATTCGTGAGTTTGAAAGTTCTTAAGCTGATTCCTTTATTGTACCCAGTACACTTAGTTAGTTGGCCAGTGGTTTTTCAGCTAAGCTTCATGCAGTTTCTTTCAGTGGATGGGAGATTTTTGATGCCTCCTACTTCTCTGCATAGTAGAGGAATATCCATTTATATAGAGTTGAACCCTTTTACCAAAAAGGCCCTGGTTGGAATCGATTCATGGAGATATATGCTCTATAAATTTCTTGAAGAACCAAAGTGTTCTGATCTCAGACACATTTGGAAAATACGGAGTTTTGACTTGAAATTCATTTTCTCATGGAAACAAACTGAGACTTATTCGCAAGATGACTAATTTTGGGATGGGAACTGAGAAAATACAAGATGAGTGTAGAGTATCCGTGCCAGTTAATAAGGAGGTGCTAAAAACTGGATAGTGATTATAAATATGCAAATTGACAAAGAAGTCCATTGAAGAGTATTCCATCAGGTAAATCTGAGAACAGTCAGCATCAAATAATGGTAATCATTGATTCTGAGTCACTGTATTAAATAGAAGCAAAAAGTGAGTCTATGTTGATAGAGATAAGTGAGTGATGAATAATAAACTGGAGTGAAGGGAAAGTGAGTCCTTACACGGAAATGGAAAACCAATAATGAATATGGAGGAATGGTGAAGTTTAAAAATCACCATTGGATTATTGGGAGGGTAGAGTTAAATGATTAACAGAGTATGCAGATAGTCTGAAAATGCCATCATTCAAAATATTTTCTTTTTGGTTACAGAGGGAGAATTAATGACTTCATAGTGGAGAAACCTGACAAAGAACCACCTTAATTGTGATCATTTTTAAAAAATCTTTAATATTGAGATGAGCTTACACCGAATGTTTCTTGATCATTTCTTCTTTTAGTGCACTATAAATACTCAGTATTTGTTCTGTGGTAATTTGACCCAGATGCTTCCCCTGGACCTAATTATGAGAGATGATGATATAGACCCTTGTTTCACATCATAACATAATTCCACTGTATACTTTCTAGTATAGAGACAGTCTGAATCACTGTTCTACATCAAAGCAGCCATGGGGGGGTTTAATAACAAAGGACATAACAACTAAGCACAGAGTTTGAGCTAGCATTCCTAAACTGAGAATCAAAATGGTCTATAATAGACTATATCAGAGTACTTTGCCAGAATTTTAAAATGGACTATAGATGAGATAAAAGAATTTTATCAATGTGATGTTTGCTAATTTTAATAATTATCCTTTGGTCATTTAAGAGAATGTCCTGATTTTTAGAAACTGTGTACTTACTTCCAGGGAGAATATGTCTGTGTGCCATAACGATAGCACAGTGGTAGGCATTTGCTTTGCACATGGCTGACTTGTGTCCAATTCCTCTGTCCCTCTCGAGAGCCCGGCAAGCAACCGAGAGTATCCCGCCTGCATGGCAGAGCCTGGCAAGCTCCCTGTGGCATATTTGATATGCCAAAAACAGTAACAGCAAGTCTCACAGTGGAGGCATTACTGGTGCCCACTCAAGCAAATTGATAAACACTGGGAGGACAGTGCTACAGTGATATAAAGAGAGAGATAGAGCAAGTGCTATTGGGATGACATTTAAATAATTGGTGTTGGGGGCTGGAGCGATAGCACAGAGGATAGGGCATTTGCCTTGCACGCAGCCGACCCAGGTTCGATTCCCAGCATCCCATATAGTCCCACAAGCATTACCAGGAGTAATTCCTGAGTGTATGTGCAAAGCCGGGTGTGACCCAAAAAGAAAAAAAATTGGTGTTGGATAAAGAATATATGGAACTGTTAGTCGACCATTCAGATTCACATTATTTGTTTGAACACAGAGGTGAAGGAGAGTATACTGAAGGGAAGACCATGGGTATGGATGTACCTTAACAACAGATTCAGAAAGTTCTTGAACTCAGCATGTGTAATTGCCAGCTGTGCACAGATTTTTAGAAAATACATCTCCAGACTTTGCCCAAATTTGCTTCCACAATATTCCCAAAACAATATGAAGTCCAGTTTACTCAGCAAAACCCAAATATGTATTTGCTGTCATATTTGAGATCATTTCAAAAGTTACTGCAGTGAATTACAACTATAGAGCTGAAACAAGGAAAATTGATAGTTTAGACCATTCATTCTAATACTCTGTGCTGCAGTTCTCTTTGTGAGATACTGTATTATCCTGATGGGTGAAGATGTGATGTAGACACACTTTCTCAATTCATAAAGGGAGTTCCTTCACCCAGTTTCAGTGAAAATGCCCCTGATGAGGTCTTAAAGTATTTTGTATCACACATTATTCAGGTGATGCATTAAACAATGCCATCACTGCTCACTGACTGAAGAAGAAGAAACTCTTCTGTGAACTTACTTAATTTGAGGTCTTGAATTTTAAAAGGAAAGTGAAGTGTAATTTTCTGAAAATACTAGTGTGGAGTTTATCTCTTGGATTACTAGCATTGTACCAAAGCAATTCACAGGATATTAAACTGTTTTAATCTGTACCTCATTGAGTGGATTCTCTTCAGTATAAATTCATGATGTCTAAAATGTCCGGTCCAAAAGGCAGCACATTTGTAAAAAGCTGCCAAAATAGTTACAAATCCATTATCTAAGACCAATAATTTACTGTAAGTAAGAAAATTCTTCAGAAGCATCTTCCTATCTTTCTCCCATTCACTTGAGTCGATGACTTTTCCTAGAGAGGATTTTATTTGAGTTACTTAGTTTCACCTTTTAAGAAAATAACATCTCCTTGCTCTTAACATCTTGGTTAATTCTGTTAGCATGGCTTTGTTTGCCATTTATATACACCAGTTATTATCTGACTTAGCCTCTTTGCTGAGGATTTATTTATTTATTTATTTTGCTTTCTGGATCACACCCGGTGATGTACAGGGATTACTCCTGGCTCTGCACTCAGGAATCACCCCTGGAGGTGCTCAGGGGACCATATGGGATGCTGGGAATCGAACCTGGGTCGGCTGCGTGCAAGGCAAATGCCCTACCCGCTATGTTTTCTCTCCAGCCACAGAGGATTTATTTTTAGTATAAAATTTTTTAACTCTGTGGGCTGTGGTTGATCAGTATTTTCGCAGCAAATATCTTTATGACTCCCGAAAAAGTGGGGGAAATAGAGGTCATAGAAGATAACTAATGTTATTAGAGATTTTCTCTTCTGGGAAGAATAGAGGTATTAGAATCACATTCTTACTGGATAATTTAAGATACCTTAAAATATGCTGGTAAAGATGATTATGATTATGCAACGAGGCTGTTGCTATCTTGAGCCCCATGAGTATGAGGCATTGTGCTGAAAACTATACAGTACATGGATTTGTCTGATCCCAAACCTCCCTGGCAAGTACTTAACTCTATACCTGAGGAAACTAAGCAAAATCAACTTGCTTGCCTGAAATCCTACTGTAAGGGAATGTGGAAACCGTAATAGGAACCCAATTCTGTTATTTTTATTACATCTGCAGTCTTTTGAGAATATTTTATAGCCTTTTTTCTTATTTGCTAAATAACAAGCATGAATATATGTCCAAATATTAATATATATAATGAGTTCATTTGGTTTATGTTATGCCATTTGAATAAGAATCTGTAGCCAAACATAAGAGAAATTATAAGGATGAGCCGAGTGCACTTGGATTTTACATTCTTCTCTGATGTTTAATCTTACCCAGGTTAAGCTCAACTTTCTGAAGCACGGTTCCTCTTCTCTAATTTTGTGTAGTAATTTCAAGCCTGTCTTACTGGGAGTGGCTAGATGGATTGAATGATTAAGTATGTATTATTATACATGGGATAAATGATTATTTTTCTTGTCATATTAATCCTTTGTGAAATTATTGGAATATTCCATTTAAGCCATTTCTCAAGACTGAGAAATACATTGGGCATTGTTTATATAAGTCTGCCCAGTAACATGTTTATGATTTTAACATGTGGTGAGCATTTCATAGGCTAGTTATTTGATTTCAATGTATTTAATTCCATTAAAATTTTGCTTCTTACTAAAAAATGTTTGCAACAACATGAGTATTAGTATTTAAGAAGGAATTGTAATTACTCATATAAAAGCATTGTAGTTGGGCTGGAAGTGTTTCAGTGATACCTATTTTGATTTAGGTAGCATAATATCTGGATAGTCTCATATTTTTGAGCAAAGAAAGTTTACAGGTAGAAAAATACATTTGTCAAAATCTTACTAATCGGTGTCCATTGTACTATTCTTATTTTTACGTGGACTTGAAAGTGTGCATACTAAATTTTTTAATTGCTCTTTTACAGATGCAGATTTTCTTTTATAATCCAGATGACTTTGACAGCTTCCAAACTGCAATTTCTGAAAACAGAATAATCGGAGCCATGGCCATATTTTTTCAAGTAAGTTAGCAGCAGCTCAAGTGTTTAAACCAGAGTATTCTCTGAGTATTTTTTAAAATTCGCCGAATTGTTCCATGTTTAATGAATGCATCTGTTTTCTAGTTCACACCTGTCTAAATGAAAGATATTTCATATTGTCTAATGTGTGATTTAAAATGTAAATAAGTATGTTTAGAAACATAATGAAAAATTTTGCATGAATTATTCTGATTTTATTGCTACTTGACTGGTGCACAGATTGAAGAACACATTTATCATTGAAGTTACTTCACTACTGAGGCATTTTGAATAGGTTCCTTCAGCAGAGTAAGAGGTTGACATAAGAAAAGGTGTTTTTTAGGAAGGAACTTTAAATTTTGACATTACTTACAAGTAGATTAATAAATAGCATCAGTCACTTCTCTAAAGAGACACCTTTTCTTTCCCATTCTCTCATCCCCATGGTAACAAAAGTTTGTATTGAGACCATTTCAAAGTTAGTACATTGTGAACTCGTCCTTTCTTATATCTTCTTGTTTGTTTGTTTATTTGTTTGTTTTTCTTATTTGGCCTCCCATACAGTGTTCAGAAATCCATGGAGCCACTTCTGGCCATATTTGGTCAGTTCATATCCCAATGATGTTCTGCTCAGGCCAAGTGGTCACGGCCAAGTGGCCATTAAGGTCACACCTATCAGTGCTCAGGAAACCTTAGGGGACCTTGCAGTGCTAGGAATCAAACTCAGAATCCCAAGCATTTAAGATACGGACCCCTGATTCCTGGCTATCACCCCAGATGCTCTTTTTCTCTTTTAATGTGTTTGTATTAATGAATGCCATTGACTCTTTTGTCAGTATTGTATCCAAGAGCCAAACTCCTGCAGTCTTTTGGATATGTCAAATCAAGGAATTCATTCAGTCTTAGCTAGATAGCCTAGAGAAAATTTGGTGCCTTGTTTAGGGGAAGGAAGTGGGACCATACCTCTTGATTTTTAAGTTTACTCTTGGTTATGTGTTGGAGGTCAATTCTGACAGTGCTCACTGGACCATGTGCTGCCAGAGTTTGAACTGGAGTATAAAAAAAGTGCCTTAACCCCTGTACTCATTCTCCAGCATGTGGTGTTTTTGTATACTCTGAGATGTGGTTAGAAGGATGTGACTGTCACTTGTCTTTCACTCTATTATTATTGGGAAATGATATCATTCTAACAAAGGAAAGTCTGGACACAACCTTCTCCACTATGGATCCTTAACCTCTGCCTTCTGGGCAAAGCCTCTTTGTCCATTAGATGGAACCACTCTGTTTGTAGTGTGTTAATTTTTATTATCCTCTTTAGCAGGTTACACATGATGGATGTTTCTCTCTATTGCTTATCTCACCTCCTTAACTATAACTTTTTTTCCTTTTCTCTTCTGGATATTGGTTCAAATGGGAGATTATATGTGAAAAATTGAAATCCAGTTGTCAAAAACGTTTTGAGTTGTGGTGATCAATATTGGTTATGGCACTGGTTTTCTAATGGTGAATTCTAGCCTTCTGATATAGCATAAAATTATTTTAGCAGGTCCTGGCGAGCATTTTTAAAATAATGATATGAAATAGGAAAAAATGCATTAAGAAAATAGAAAAGTGGGGAGCTGGAGTGGAAATGCATCAGGTAGGGTACTTGTCTTGCATGCAGTTGTCTCAGGCTCAATCCCCAGCACTCCACATGGGCCCCCAAGCTGACCCAGAATGATCCCTGAACTTCGAGTCAGGAGTAAACCCTGAGCACCCAGGTGTGGCCCCAAAACCAAAACAAACAGAAAGAAAATAAAGTAAATACGTGGAAATGGTGAGAAATTTTTGTAGCAGGGCCTGAGAGATAGTCCAAGGATTTAGGCTCTTGCCTTGTATTCAGCTCATCAAGATATTTTTAGTAGGTTTTAAATTTTTTTACACATGAGAATCATACTGGGGGCTGGAGCAATAGCACAGCAGTTAGGGCGTTTGCCTTGCACGAGGCTGATCCTGGTTTGATTCCCAGTGTTCCATATGGTCCCCCAAGTAATTCCTGAGGACAGAGCCAGGAATAACCCCTGTGCATCACCAGTTGTGACCCAAAAAGCAAAAAAAAAAGAAAAAATAATCAAACTCGTTCATATTATAAGCTATATTTCTCTCTTTTTTCCTTCTTTTCCTCCTCTTCCTCCTCCTCCTCCTCCTCCTCTCCTTCTTCTCCTTCTTCTTCTTCTCCTTCTTCTTCTTCTTCTTCTTCTTCTTCTTCTTCTTCTTCTTCTTCTTCTTCTTCTTCTTCTTCTTCTTCTTCTTCTCCTTCTCCTCCTCCTCCTCCTCCTCCTCATCCTCCTCCTCCTCCTCTTCTTCTCCTTCTCCTTCTCCTTCTCCTTCTCCTTCTCCTTCTCCTTCTCCTTCTCCTTCTCCTTCTCCTTCTCCTTCTCCTTCTTCTCCTTCTCCTTCCACAACCAACTGTGCTCCAGATTACTCCTAGCTCTGAGGTCATGGGTCACTTCTGGCAGGGCTCAGAGGTGGGGGAGACCATATGCAATGTGGAGATCAGAACCAAATTGGCTGTATGCAAGCAAATATCTTACTCCCCTCCATTATCCCGTCAGCTTATAAAATATATTTCTTACCGTGTGTTATTCAAGGGGAAGCCATCTTTTGGTCTTCATGATCCGCTTTGTTTTCCCACACGTCTTTCCCCAATTACATTCATGAATCACTGTAGACTGTTGTGTTTTAATAGCTTAGTTGCCAGTGAAATATACTTAACCTTTGAATACTGTCTCTTCTACTTAATATCTGCCTAATATTGATAAAGTTGTTGAAACTCTCTAGCCTCAATGTCTTTACCTGTGAAATGAAGTGTTCGGTCTTCATGTTCCAAATCATAGTGATGATTACAAGGTCCCAGCATTTGGTAGATGCAAAATAATGTGAATCTATGTCCATCGACCTCCAGTGTTCACTGATGAAGAATCCATGGTGAATATGTTTCTTTGTCTCTACTCTGAGTCCTGCCCTGTCGGTGGGTCACTTAAGCTGTCCCTGCCCCCATTTTTTTTTCTAAACCCTGATCTTGGTTTGCCTTTGGCAATGTTTGGGTAATTTGAACCACTTTACATTTACACTTTGAATCCTGTTTTCTGTGACTGTTGTCTTGGCAAGCTTCTTTTTCTATAGTCAGCCCTGTCCTCCAGTAGGTCTGCCCTCTACTATACCCCGTTAGTAGAGTGCCCTCTTGCACCCCCTCCAGCCAGGTCCCACTCCATAGGTCTCCTTTGAAAATGTTTTCATGAGTACTTAGAAGGACTATTTTACTGCATGTTGTGTTATGGCCAACACTTTCTGGTTTTTTTTGCAGCTGTAAAAACTCTTGTTAAATATACAGCCCATTAGAACTGTAGGCAGGTGATACACATTGCTTTACAAACCTCGAAAACACCTTAATGTGAAATCTAGGCCTCAGATTTTAAAAGTATTTCTCAGATATAAAGGTAAAAGGTAAAGGCCCTCCCGTTGATCGTCGATTTGCTCGAGCGGGCCCAGTAACGTCTCCATTGGAGACTTTGTTGTTACTGTGTCTGGCATATCGAATACTCTCGGTAGCTTGCCGGGCTCTCCGATTCTCAGATATAACTGCTAGTTAACATACAAACACACACACACACACACACACACACACACACACACACACACACACCTTAAGTTTGCTGTATCTGGAAAGTTCTCTAAGTTTTGGCTTGCTGTTTTGTAGTTAGAAAATAGAGGACAAATAACATAAAATAGTGTTTTGGTTCGTTTTGTTTTTCCAGATAATGGCTGTGTTGAGCTGCTTCCTTTATTTTTCTTTCAAGTTCACATAGACATTCACACATTTCAGCCTGCACTGCTTCATGTGTTTTCCAATTCAAACCTGAACTCTTAAAGCATGATGGCATGGGGATGTCTGTCCTGTGTCCAGCACAGATTCAGTACCAATAAAGGTAGTAACTGCCACATTAAATGAATGGATACAGTTTGCCTCTGCTCGTCACATCACTTTCACAAGTGCCCTCAGAGAATAGTGACAAACAGGTATAGAGATGCGCTATCCTCTCCTAAAGAGGCTGTACTCTGACTTGGTGCTCATAAACCCACACAACTCGTCTCCAGAATGACTCAAGATTTAAGTTTCATGTAGATGATACTCACTGACTTTGTCTAGTCGGTTGTTTTCCTTACGCTTCGGTTTTTTGATTTGCTCATCACATCCCTATTATTTCAGGTCATAGAAATGAAGAAGTGCATGTTTCTTTACCATGAAAGTAGGGCCAGATCAATAGTTTGGGGCTTTAGGTGCAAGGTTACCGTGCATATAGCTGACACTGATTTGATCCCTAGCATTTAATGGTTCCCTGAGCTCGTAACATCACTTTCACAAGTGCCCTCAGTGAGTATAAACTTCCAAGTACACAGCTGACCAGAGATAGTCACAAACAACACCAAGAGTGCCCCAGACCAAAATTAATAAGTAAATATAACTTCAAAATGGACACAAGCATATTTAGTACATTGGTGTCCAAGAACCAAATATTGACCTGAACTAGCAGTTGACTACAGGTGTTCTGTTGTGAACTTAATTTGTTGAGTTGTTTTGCTTTCTACCCCCGCCCCCCCCACTTTTCTTCTGTTAAATGTGACAGATTTTACATAGACTATCCTGTGAGTGTAACTAGCAGAAGATAAGAATTGAGCAGTGGGTGTTCATCTTTTTGTCTGCTTGGGAAGAGTTACACATCCCCATTGCAACACAGTCTCCAGGCAACTTCATCTTGTCTTCATGTCAAGAAATTTGGAAGGGGTAGTTTCTGAAGTTGAAGCCAAAGCCTCACATATAGAAGCCATGTGTTTAACTGCTCAGCTAAATCCAGGTATCGATGTGATCTTGGACCCTATAACTTTGGTGCCTTTCATAATTTGGTTAGAGGCAGAAATGAAGATAAGACTCAATGAAAAATGAGAATCAGGTTTTTTTTTTC